CAAACAGTCTCGTGATCAATAACTTTCTTTCTTCTTCTTTTTGGATTTCAGCATTTCCTCCCCCTCCAATATCACTATGTTTGCATTGCTTTTCCTCTCCGTTTCTTTCTTCTTCTCAGAATATGGATTTTAACTTCCAATCTTCTACCATTCAAAACCATTTAAGGATCCCATGATTTAATTGATATGCTTTTTTTCAATTATTATTGTGATTATCTTGTCCCATATTTTTGCTTATTTAATGGAGAAAAAAATATACAAAACACATAAATATTCAAACAGAGAATTAAGGTACAGAGGTCACATTGAGCTACAAAAGGAAATACGAATCCATTACACTAAAAACCTTCTCTTTCCAGGTCCTCCCCTTGTATCAAACTTTTTATAATCAATTTCAAAATCTGGGGAGTCGGCATTAGAATTCCAACCAGGAGAGATACTACAAGTTTTCATATCAAAGACCCACCAACCAGGGCGGCCACGCTGGTTAAAGTAGATGCAGTTTTTTCTGCAACCTAGTTCACTTGCAGAGATTGACAAGCAACAAGTGAACCCCAAGAGCAGAGTGCGGTCGCCCAGGGTTTCCATCCTGATCCAAGATAGACTAGAAAAGTCAAGCTTGAAAACTTCTACATCATCCACCAAATCCATCAGTTCCATGGAAACTAGGAAAACCAGCAGGATTTCCCCGTTGGATTCAATTAAATAAATACTCTCTGAAACCCTTTGAGCAGGTGGAGGGAATGGCTCTTTTTGCACCCAAGACTGTAATTTTAGGCCTGAAACTGAAGTCAATAACTGCTAAGGTTCCTTGCAAACTTAAGGCATAACACTTATCTCCAAATCTAATAGCGTTTGTGAATTGTATGGTGCGTGGTTCACAGGACGATTTTGGGTCTATCAATCTGCATTCATCTCGGATGGACTCTCCTCCTGCTGACACATGAAAGATGAAGCTGGGATAAGAGCCACCAGTCAGTACCATGCATTCACAGTCGACTGTAATAGTATCAGGGAGCACACTCTTCTTGAACTGGACACTAGAACAGCCCCGTTCTGGACGTGGGCTATCAAGAGAATTTCCATGGTCGCCATGGAATTCAAATGTGAGAAGGTAGTCACCAGGATTGATTGCTCTTGATATCAGCTCGGCCATGGGACACTGCATATAGCTATAGCTGGGCTGCAGCTGCTACCAATGCGTGCCCCATTCTGTGCAGTAGGTTCTGCTATAGCCGAGATGGATGATTTCCCCGTTTTCATGGCCGGAAAGGAGGAGCTGCGGCGGCAAACGTCCAGTCGATCTGCATTTTCTGGGTCCTACTTTCCACAGCTTGGAGACATTGTTGGTAAGATTAATATATACACCTTCTCTGTACCTGAAATTGTATTTGGGATCGTTGATGAAGGTGTCTATTTGATCAGCAGGAAGGTCTGTCCGAGGCGCTCTGCTGTAGAGGGTATTTGGACTAACCACATTCTCCATTTTCCTTCTCCTTAATTTGGATCCTTGCTTCTTTGCCATTTGGATCCTTTACTGCAATGAAACAACAGATCTGTGGTGAGTTTTTGTGAAGAAAAAGAAACCCACATTGACATACAGAGAGAATTATTAAAGAAAGAAAACGAAATCTTTTGGAGGAGCTGTGCTGGGGGAAAGAACTTAGAAGTACCTACAGCTTTCTCTTACGAGAAATTAAAGTTCGAAAGAATTTAAGTCAACTTCAAAGGAAGACGCGGGCTGTGAGAGCTGATCAGTGCCATGAATTAATGTTGAAATGAAATAATATAATATAAGTTCATCATCACTTTGTCGTAGCTTCCAAGTTTCTACAAATCCTTCTGTCTGTCTCCTTGCTCTTCAAGTAAACTTAATTAAATAAAAGTATAAAACTAGCACACAACGGTCAACGGACAAACACGTTTCCAAATTAAAGAGACCGGATCTGCTCCTTACAAATGGCGCCTCACACGCACATCCTACCATGCATTGAGAACATCTCCATACTTATTAATAAATATTTACGGGAGATATTCTCAATACACGGTGATGTGCGTGTGAGGCGCCCATTTGTGAGGTGCGGATCCCGTCACGCCCACCCAATAAGTTTCTTGCGAGGTACGAGTAAAACCAAAACACTCAAAATTAAAAAGTTGTAGAATGTAAATAATTTTTGGAAGGTAAATTTCTTAAACTTTTCTTTATCATTTATGGTTTAGCGAATTGATTAAGTATATCTCTATGTGTTTGATTATTGTCTAACGCTACCCTTATTGTTTTTGACCCAAAGTCAACAATAGCATCAAACCCCCGCCATGTTTCTGATGAAGGACAGTGTTAACGGGACTAAGAAGGCCGGTGAACGGAGACCGGATCTACTCCTCACGCAAGGCGCCTCACACTGACCTCACATGCACATCCTACCATGCATCGAGAACATCTCTCGTACTTATTATTCATGGAAGATGTTCCCAATGCATGGTGGATGTGCCTGTGAGGCACTCCTGTGTGAGGAGCAGATCCCGTTCCCTGTGAATCATCCCGTCGCAGGTGAAGGGATGGTGCTCCGTCTCTGTTCTCGGGCACTATATTGATCTCCATCCTTGCAGTGACAACCATCTCCATCTCAATGAAAGACAAAAAGATAATTATAACTTTCACGTGTAAATTTGACTTAAGGGCAAAATGGACATTTTAGCCCTTCCATTAATATTTAACACAGTCATAATTTTTCGAAACACTAGGAGTATCATTAGACAATAGCCAAACAACAAAGATATACTTAGTAAATTAACTAAACCATAAACATAATTTAAGAAATTTACTTAAATGATCAAACCTTTAGTAAAATGTGAAAACACTTGATAGTGTTTGGTTTCATTGAATATTATCTGAAAAATAGTGCCAATTCAATGTTACAATCATTTTCTCCCATAGAGTTTGATTAAATTGTTTGTGAAATAAACATTTTTCTCGATTTGTGTGAGAATCATCCGTTAGAAAAATCTTACTTTTAATGTTCCCCCAACATCAAAGCGTTTTTTACTATTCAGCTTATGTGTCACTAATCAACACATGGTGTATTGGATGAATTGTCTTACCCCTGTGGGAGTGTCAGGCATGATTAATACAAAAAAAAAAGAAGAAAAAAAAAACTTATGGCATGTAACAGTGCCTAAATGTCAAAAAAAAATGTTTTTTCAACCGTTTTTTGTATTTCAAAATAAATACCCCACAAAACGTATATTAAATAAATTACAACAGTACTAAGCAGCCCCTTGATCAATGAGACCGTACTAAGGGTACCCAGCAAAATCTTGGGTGCTCCGTTTGCTTGCAGCTCAAATTCATTTGCACCAGCATAAATACATAGTAAGTGCAAATTCTGATTTACTTCTGCTTAAGAAAGCACCACCACAGAGGCACAAAGTACAAAGAAAACAAAAAGAAGGCCTCAACAAGCACCCAAGCACGACAACCAACAAAACCTACCTACAGCTACAGACCACAACTAAAACCCAAAAAACAAGAAAAAAACCAAACACAGTCCTTTTGTAAAACTGGTCCCAACCACCCGGGAGGATCATCACTCATCAACAAAAACGTCAGAATTAGGGCTGTTCATAAGAATGCCCAACTCGACCAAACCGACTAATTCGGACCGATTCAACCTGAGTCGGCCGGGTTTTCATTAGTACCGGTCGGTTTCGGGTTGGGCAAATATATATAAACCGATATATCGGGTCGGTTTCAGTTTTTTTGTGTGAAAACCGAAATTAACCCGACTCAAACCGAACTAGTCTTCTACTAGTTCGGTAGTTCTTAGTTTGAGTAGTTTCCTACTTAATTATAACTAGTCTTCTACTAGAACTAGAAGGTCCATTAGGCAATTACAATTATAATAGGCAATCTATCATAGTTTCTAACTTTTTATAATCTTTTATACCAAATAGTCAACTCATTAGGCAATTACAATTAGAATTCAATTAGGTATCCTTTTGTATAAAAGCAAAACCGAAACCGATCCAACCCAACCCGTAAACACCCCTAGTCAGAATCATGCTTCAGCTTTTGCTTTCAAGTTATATTTTACTTCATATACATTGCAAACAAACTAAACAAAACAATGTAAAATCCAAAACAGAAGTAACTCACACTCATTTGGACTCGAATACTTTGCCTACTCATAGTTATGTCTTGAGGTTTTCCCACTTTGTTTAGTTATATACTAAGGGGCCATTTGATAACCCTCTGAACAAATCCAACATAATCAAATCGGATCTTAGACTCTACTGACAGCCCCAATGACAATGAAAGGTGTTTGGCTTCCGTCCGTTCGAACAGCCTAACATTAGGAATATCTACGTACTTGTGTGCTTTATTTCATGGAGAGATATTTCTGATGCAAAGTTATAAGAGACCTGACTTGGGGAGATATTCCTGATGCAAGATTAAAATAGACCCTGACTGAAGCCGATCTCCGATGAAAGTAAATGGTAACGTAGATTTCAAACAAAACCAGTCCTAACTCCTAAAGTCTGAATTCACAGTTGGGATACTAGTATTTTTCTCAACCATCCAGATTTGTTTTCCTATTGAATGTCATTTTCTAAGGAAAATAGTCCATTCTAATGCAATCAAATACAGTCTTAGGGGGTGTCATTTTCTAAGGAAAAGTTAGTCAATATGAAACTTTGATTCCCATTAACCAATAAATTATTTTTTTAAAAAGTTTATTTTCCAAAGTAAATGATACACATCTCCTAAGTGAATAAATAACTTTTTCACATTAGAGGAAAATTACCAATACTTAAATGGGACAAAAATGTCCCTTTTAATAATAGATTTTTATGGTTAAAATGATCATTGCCTTGTTTATATAGAAAATAAAAGAACATGGATAAATGCACTTACCCGAATAAAATATTTCCTGAGAAACACTTACCCAGTTAACTTACCAAAAGTGAACGGGGGGCCTTAATGTTAAATCATACTACCATATCTCAAATACGCTGAAATCTGGAAGTCATTAATAGACGGGTGAAAATGTACATAATGTTAACAACAATTATATACAAACTCCTTTCCCACTCCCAACTGCAAGAATCTCCATTAGCTCCCTTTGAAACAAGAAACCCTACAATTCTTTGCAGCTTTCTTACAACACATCACTAGGTGATCCCAAATATATTACAAAACAGAGCTGCTGCCTTTCCCCATTTTCATACGAAGCTCCAAGGCAGAAGTACCAGGGTCCCTTGATAAAATTATGTTCCCATTGAGGTCCGTTGTGCTATAGCTTAACATGTTATTGCTCATCACAATTCTGCAAGAACTCCATGTCTCAGCTTGTAGTTCAACACCAAAGTACTTTAAGTGATCTGTGATGCTGTTGCCTGTAACAGATCTGCAACGATGGAGGAAGAAAAAAAAAACAACAGCGTTAGAGCCCTTACCAGCTTTGTTAAAAATATGGAAGTACAAGGGAGGAAGAGAGAAATGCCTGCTACAAGAAGAATCTTCACCGGAACCATCGCAAACCTTCTCGGCTGTACATACCAGGCTTCCCAAAGCAATTTCGTAGAGCCAAACCTATAGTTAGAGTAAAAGACTCGATGTTATTGATCAATAGGAGCAAAACACATGACGAGTTATTAGCTCGCAATCGATTCTATGAAAATTCAAACACAGACACCTATCACCTTTTTAAGGCTTCAGAGTGTCGAAAATAACGGTTATGAAACTATATTCAAGTAAACAGTCCATTATAGCAGTGATGTTTCGTTTAGATGCATGCATGCAGTGGTCTGTCTGCCTGCAGGATCTCAGAATCCGTAATTCAACATCTCTTATCTAGGCCTTGAGGATGAAGAGTAAATTTATTTCAGAGTGTTTCTTTGAAGATAGAAGGGTGTATCTTATCTAGGGGCGTGAGCTTATTTTTGAAACCGAACCGGGGTTATCAGTTTTGGGAAAACTGGTAACCGAAGCCAATCAGTTAACCAGTTGATCGGTTCGGTTAACCGTCGATTTTTCAGTTTTTATTATTTACAATATATATTATAGAAAATATATAAATATATAATAAAAACTAGAAATATATATATAATATTATATTTTGAATAATAAATGATATATTATATATTATATATTATAAATATATATTTATATATAATGCATATTTATTAATTTATAGTGTATAGAAAATATAATATATAATATACATAAATATGCGTAAAATATATATATAAATATATGTATACCGGTCGGTTCAGTTAACTGCTGGTTTTCTATTTTGGTTTTTTAAATACCAAACCGATACCTTCGGTTAACCGAATTTTTGGTTCAGTTTCGGTCGGTTTTTCAGTTTTTCTTGCTCACCCCTAATCTTATCATGATTTCACCCACAAAAGAAAATGTGATTAAAAGGATGAATTTTCATACTCATGTTACCTCTCTTGGGAAGTGCTGGTATGTCTTCTGTGGGAAATAAGCATAGTATGGAGGCAAATGAGGCACAATATCATGTGCATGCGTCACACGGATTGTATTTGGCACATGTTTTCTGTAGTAGGATACAAAAACTGCATTACCAATACGGGGTTGTCCAAATGTCATTACCTGGACATTATGGGCCCCATAGTTAACCTGGAAACAAGTAAATAAAAAGCACTATTACTCCAACACAAGTTCCAGTTGAAAGTACAGGATGTTCCTTGATAAGCTATGCAGTAAAATATGAAGAAACACATGTTAATCAAGAAATGGATTTCCAACAAAAATCCATGATACAAATTGTGAGAGAATTAGATTTGAGCATATTGAACAACTCCATATTAAAAAGATAGCTATGCCTAGAATGTTTGGAATTGAACATCCCATTAAAACTACACTGTGTTGCCTAGTGCCACGATATAAAAGGAATAGAAGATGGATGTTTTTTCAGTTAAGTTTCACGAGAGGTTTCATAAGAGGGAAGCAAAAAAGGACAATTTGTTGTGCTCATATTTTGCCACTGATGAAAAACTTTAAACTAGAAAGATTTTGTTGAATATTTGAAACTCAAGGTCCTGTTAAAAGTGCACTAAGTCGCCTAATGCCAAAATATGAGCAAATATTAGATTACCAAGGAAATGAAAGATATTTTTCATATAATTTTCATGAGGGAAGCAAACAAAGAAAAAAGATACCCTTATCACTCAAGTTCACCACCGAGGATATTTAAATATAAATAGGTGAAAAGGAAAATAAGATAAGTTGTAATTATAGTTTATAAGTATTTAGTGAGTGGGCAGGTAAGCACATAAAGAAAATGAAGTCATAAGAAACACTAAGCATATATATAAAGAAGAGTTATGTACCACGAGATCAAGTGCACAGAAGGATGCCATTGCCCCTCCCATTGAGTGCCCTGTCACCATGATGTCAAGGTCCCCATAAAATTTCTTGGCTCTTTTAACTGCATGTATAACCTCAGGTCGTAATGTTGTGTTATGGTAAGCAGTATAAAATCCATGGTGAACCTGAATCCAAAAGTTATGGAATGAAAGCTAATAAGACTCAAGCCATGCATATTCATTCTTATATCTATGTCATTTCTAAAACCCTCTTTACCCAACTCCTACATACCATAGCTTCAGGCATGCCTGGGTAGTTTAGATCTAGTTGTTTCCAGAATAGGTCCTCAATCCAATTCTGCATGCTGCAGACATCAAGTCATTCCAGAAGGAAATTACAGTTCAAGAACTGATAGATAAATGTAACATCTGCACAAGTAACAACACACTAGCAAAGTCAACTAGTTTCCCTATATATAATTTGTTTATTATGTGTCATTCCATTTTCCTAGGTAACTGCCCAATTTATTGAAAGTTTCATAACCTATCCCTACAGCCAATTAGCAGCTACTTTTGTAAGATGTCCACTGAGCCTGCACTCACAATTCAGACTTCAGAGGGAGAAAAAAAAGAATTGAATTCAAGGAACTAACTAAAGATGGCAAAATGACACTTCGCCTGTGTAGGTTATTGAATCTCTGTCTCTATTTTTCTTTTGTTATTCTTTATTCATGCTAGTGGAAGAGTAAGAGAAAGTGATAAGACAATTCTTTCACTATCCAATATAATCTTCTGACATGGATCATTGACGCCAATTAAGGGCTTAAGGCCATTCAAGTAAATCCAAGTTAGTTATTTAATGTTTCAGAGTTTGGAAAGATTTTCCCAAAAGATCCACTTTACTGCAACTTTAATGTATAAGGTCTTCATAGCATTTATACCTGTGTTCCTGAGTGCCCCTAAATGCAATCACAATGGCATCAAGATCCTGTGCTACACCAATAAATGCCTGCAGAAGATGCTTACAGTGAGTTCAGACCTTTGGAGACAGCAAAGAGGAAGAAGCATTTAGCTTTTCAAAACAGAGGAAGAAAATTTCGATAAAACAAATCATTGTGGTGTAGTATAGTTTTCTGGCTATAAAGTATATCATGTTTGCAATAGTATCTACCTGTAAACAGTGCTGGACATCAACAATCAACTCTATAATTTCAAATCCCTGTTTCAATATAAAAGAACATTTATCATTTGCCTAATCATTAAGGAAGAAAATGTTATATCCTTCCACTGTTTAGGCAGTAACCAGAAATAAGCTCCCAAATCTTAATTTTACATTCACAGAATATAAAAAAGTAGAAGTACCTTGGTCATGTGATCACATCTTGAGCATGTCCAAGTAAATAGTTCTGTTAGATCTGACATGTATACCTGCAAAATATAGAAACATGCCTCTGATAATCATTTACAAGTTATAGCTCAAGAGCTGAACTTAGGCAAGACAACAACAAATTGTACTGCAATTAGTCAAGCAAGCAGTCTATTGAACCTGAGATCATGAACCATGTCAATCAAAACTGAATAATTGAATAACAATTTGCAATAGGAAAAAAAATGATGAGTACAGAAGCTTCTGGTTACTCTCCAGTACTAATTCAAGAGAAATATTAACGTGAAAGATTACCGCAGATGCATACTCCACTAATATTGTGGCAAGAGTGTGATTGTATACAGGAAGATGGTCCCTGTTGTTCGCTTTAAGCTCTGTAATAGTGAATGAAAATGTTATGGGCCCGCCCACATCAGAAAAATATCATTAGAAACTGATCAATAGTTTATCACCCAAGTCTAAGTTTAGTTTTTGTTAACACACAAGGAGAAGGTTCACTATGTATCAAAATATTAGATGAGATGTTTCAAAAGCTGTAAATAGCAAGATTTTTTCCCTCATCCCATTTCAGCTGTCTTTTAACAATAGAAAAATGACTATGCATAAAAATTTTTGCACAAGTATTAGTACAAAAAATAACTATTTTCATGAGAAGATAATTTCCGTCAAATCATAACCACAGTTACCCTGTTGATGGTTCCAACAAAATATATAAGGTTGGCTACTCAGAATTTTTACTTTGTTCTTTTTATTTTAAAAGCTTGAACAGATAGGATACAGGTACACCCAACTAATTTTACACGCATTAACTGCAAAATAAGAGTACAATGTTTCAACTTTCAAGGACTAAAACGAGGATGCAGAATATCAATAGAACCGGTTCCACTCCACCATGAAATATATTTAGCTTAGCTACCTAACCTTTTTTTAGATGTTTGTGCATTGAATAATTCACCAACTAGAACAGAATTATCCCAATTTTTCTTATGAGCATAGTAATTTAGAATTCAAGAATTCACACGGACGTCTTTGGACGGACTGATAACTACGATTGCTACAAGTACAAAAACAATATTGCCCTTAATCTACTCCTAATTTCCATATAAGGAAGCAGGCAAAATACCTCATAATCTGCAAATTAGCTGCTAGAAACGAAAATACATTTAACATCTAATATAAAGAACTGAATTCAACGGGGGAAGGAGTCAACCTCTGGCACCAGAAGCTGCAAATAAACATATTAAAAATGCCGTCTTTAACCACAGTCGTTCCATATCCTTTCCCAAGAGTCGAACAATCAGAAGCAAACCAAAAATAAACGACAACGATTTCACACAGTTCAGTGTTCCGTTCTCTGTTTCGACTTCTTCACTTCTAAACTCAATTCAACCCTTCCACCGCCAAGAAAAACGGGGGAAAGAGAGAATCAAATACAATAATCATAACTCAAATGGAAGCCGCAGTCAGTCAAAATTCATGCCCCAGTCTTCCCCACGAACAATCAGGACCTGAAAATCGGAATCAGTTAATTATAAGCAGCAAATTAGGGCAAAGATTCCAGAAACGCCAGAGAAGTATACAAATACATACCCTACCGACGTAACCGTCGACCTTTTTTAGGAACCAGTCAAATAAAGTCCGGCGAAACCCAGGAATTTAGCGTCGAATTCCAGGGAGCTGAAGCCGCACAATGATGGCAGCTACGGAGCCCTAAATTCCAGCTTGGGTTGGGTGGTCTTCAGTCTTCTCTGGTTGTATTCTTGTGCTTTTTAACTTCCGTCTCTGGACAGCGTAGAGAGGACGAAAGCTAAGAATGACAAGAGGGGAAGTTGGATAAAACAAACAACAATAACAGTAAAACCTCTTCTCCGTCGTAGTGACGACATCGCAGTTTGGCTCTGGCAGCTTCCATCTTGCGCTGGGCCGGTGGGCCCGCCCCGTTGTCATTTCTTGGGCGGTTGGGCTCGCTGTTGTGTCTGTAGCGATCTTAATGAAACAGTACTCCCTGCTGCATCGAATCAGTAAATGATATAAAAAATTATGAGATCTAAACTAAACCTGTTCACGAAGCCGGGTTCGGGTCGGGCTTTCTCTGAACCAATGTTCAAAAACCGACTCTGAACCCAAAAAAACTGCTTTGGCCATGGGTTTTTGGTTTAGTGGGTTGACCGTGTCATCTGAACAAATCGTCTAATTTAAAAACTAATGAATGACCCCGTATTAAGTACTGGAAAGTTAATTATATATATATATATATATATATATGAATAAACATTAATAATTTTTATTACTATTTATAAATTGCTATTTTTTAAGACATTCATACAGTCTACGGGTTCATATAAATTGACCCTTATATGTCAAACCTGTACGATTATACGGGTCATTAAATTCAACTTGAATCGCTTATTGTTTTAATTTAACCATTCTTATTATTATTATTAATTTATTTTAGTATTTAATTTAAATTTTTTGTTATATATAATAATAATAACTAAATTTGTAATTATTTAAATATTTACTTAAAATAATTTTTTCCAACCGAGTATAATTATTATATAATAGATTTTTTAATTTATATTTTGTATTTAAGAATAAACACTAATGATTTTGCTTAACAATTTTAATGACTGTTAATAAATATTGATTCTTATCTAAGGTTTAATTACTATATTCGGTAATTACTATGGGGAATGCTTTGAATAAACATTAATGATAACTAATGATTGTTATTTCATTTTTTATTATTCACTTAATTAAGTACTTGATGATTGTTATTATTATTAATTATTTCTATAAATAATTGATTGTTATTATTATTTACTTAATCCAATAATTTTCAGTAAGTAATTATTTGATTTAATTTGAATGATTTCATTTTTTTAATTATTTATAATAGACATTTAGGGTATGCTCTTCATTTGATTTAAGAGACTTACCATGTTTTATCTAGACAATGACCACATACTAAGTAAGGGGTAACTATAGTATCATTTAATTTGAAATTTACTATTTAACGGTAAAAAATCAATGTCGAGCAACCCACACCCAAAAAAGTTTTCAACAATATCACCAATACTGCTTAATATTTAGGGATGTATGAATGGATAAAAAGCATTTAAATATATCCATTCAAATAGGCAAAGAAGGAACTGCTTCAGAAAAAAAAATAAAAAAAGAGGCAAAGAAGGAAGAAAATTATTCAAAGTGATGCTAAGAAAAACAATCCATGCCAAACAACATTTGCAAGATGCATCCATCCTCTAAAGTAAGAGATGAAAAAATATATGACTACAATCAAATCATCATCATGTATGGCTACAATCAATTGATAATATAATCAGGACTCCAAAGCTCGTCCAACAGAAGAAACATTAAACAAATGAGAATAATGGGACCATCCTAAGTATGGAAATCACATCCAAGTTAGGTGGCAACACTTCTTTTGGTCAATCATGGTTATGGATTTTAAGTCTAAGCTCCCCAAGTTGCACGTACACTGGCTATAATTTATCTTTAAGAAAAAGGTAGGGAAACCTGTACATAACCTAATGGTATGCTTGAATTATGGGATTTGGGATATATAAATAGGAAATGTAAGTTGAAATTATAATTTTAGGCATGTTGATGTGTCAATTAGAATACTCATAGATTTTTAGTTCATTCATTTAGTGGTAATTTGAATATTTTTTTTATTCCATGTCTTTATTGAGTAATATAGATTAATAATATATTAATAATTATGAAATTAGTAATAATAATAAGTATATTATTATTACTATAATTTACTAATATTATATTCTTATTATATTTGTTTTGATTTTGAAATAAGTAATATTAAATTATTATTATTATTATTACTATTATTATTATTATTATCATTTATTTTTATTTTATTTTTCTTTTTGCTATGAAGTAATTAATTTGTTATAATTATGGTTTTTAGTTAATTCCTGAAATAGTAATTGCTTTTATAATTCTTTTAGTTTAACAATAGTGAATAATTGAAAGTTTATAATTTAACTTTCACTAAATGAAATATTTATTGGAGACAATAATAGTATTAATTATAATTACTTATAATAATAATAATAATAACAATAATAATAATGTAAATAAGTAACACTAATTATATATTTATAAATTAATTAATATAAATACAAAATGATTATATCCCAATTAATAATTAACATTATTAAAATACTTTTTAATTGCCATTAATTAATTAACATTCTGAAGTAAAAATGATCATTGTCATAATTAAGGAATTAATTATCAGTAAGTAATTATAATCAGTAATTAATTTTTATCAAAAATCATTATTATTAGTAATAATTAATTATAATTATTGATAATAATTATATAATTATATTAATTAATATATTTATTAATTATGATTATTGATAATAATAATAATAATATAATTAATTATTTCATACAAATGTATGAATTATAATTTATGATAATAATTCTAATATAAATAATTAACATTAAATATTTATTTTCAAAATAATTAATATGAGTTAATATAAATATAAAATGATTATTTCCGAATTATTAATTACCATTATGAAAATCATTATTAATTATCATTCCGAATTAATAATGAGAAAAATTATTAGTAATAAAGTATTAGTAGTATGTATTATAAGAAATTATTATTGGTAATTAATTATTATGAGTGAGTTATTATTATTAGTAATTAATAGCTGAATTTAATTAATTATAAGTCATTAATTATTATTAGTACCTCTCTCTTTCAAAAGTTGACTCATCATCATTGTCATCATCAACTAACAACAACAAAATAAATACATAATTTGATAAAAATAGGTAAATATCATTAATTTATTTTCTTATCTTTTGGAAAACTGAATAAGAGAAAAATAAAATGGTTAGCATTGCAAATGAAAAATTATTTGAATTTTGCAAAAAAAAATTATTGAACATAAAAAACCAAATATTCAAAAATAAGGTCGTTAAATCAAAGAGTAGTTAAAATTATTCAGTAAATAGTAATTTGAAGAAATTAAAATTAATAATTAATTATTTGTCTGAATTAAAACGGGTAATTTCAGCAAATAATTTTAAGTAATTAAATTTTTCTATTCACATTTTTTTAATAATAATCAGTATTGTTAATAGATTAATAAAATATTAGTAGTTATGAAATCAGTAATAATAATAAGTATATTATTATTATTATTATTATTATTATTATTATTATTATTATTATTATTATTACTACTATTATTATTTTATTTTTATTTTTATTAAGTAATTAATTTGTTATAATTACGATTTTTAGTTAATTCATAAAATAATATTTGCTTTTATAATTCTTTAAGTTTAACAATATTGAATAATTGAAAGTTTTATAATTTAACTTTCACTAAATGAAGTATTTATTGGGGAATAATAATAGTATTAATTATAATTACTTGTAAGAATAATAATGTAAATAAGTAACACTAATTATATATTTATAAAATTTTTAATATGAATTAATATTAGTATAAAATGATTATATCCCGATTAATAATTAACATTACTGAAATGCTTATTAATTACCATTAACTAATTAACATTCCGAAGTAATAATTATCACTGTTTGTATTAGTAATAATTAATTATAATTATTGATAATAATATAATTATATTAATTAATATAGTATAATATTATCAATTATAATTAATGATAATAATATAATTAATTATTTCATATAAATGTATGAATTATAATTTATGATAATAATAATTATAATATAGTAATTAACATTAGATATTTATTTTCAAAATAATTAATATGAGTTAATATAAATATACAATGATTATTCCTGAATTATTAATTACCATTATTAAAATATTTATTAATTATCATTTCGAATTAATAATGAGCAATATTGTTAGTAATAAATTATAGTAATTAAGTATTAGCAGTAATTATTATAAGAAATTATTTTCCGAATTAATAATGAACAATATTATCACTAATTAATTATTATCATCAATTAAGTAATAGCAGTAATTATTATAAGAAATTATTATCAGTGAGTAATTATTATTAGTAATGAATAGCTGGAATTAATTAATTAGAAGTAGTTAACAATAATTAATTAGTAATTAACAATAATTATTATTAGTAATTAATAGCTATAATTAATTAATTAGAAGTAGTTAACAATAATTAATTAGTAATTAACAATAATTATTATTAGTAATTAATAGCTATAATTAATTAATTAGAAGTAGTTTACAGTAATTATTATTAATAATCAATAGCTGGAGTTAATTAATTAGTTTAGTAGTTAACAGTAATTAATAGCACAGTTTCCTTTCTTTAGGAAATGATTGAAAGTGGGAGCTTCCCACTTCTCACAACTCTACATGGTGGTGGACTCCACTCTGCATGTTACTGGGCTCTTTTTTTGAACTACCACTAATCAGAATTTGACACATGTCTAGTTGGCTCTATTCTTGAACTACCACTGATGTAACTGTTTCTGGTCACGTATCAGTTTTTTTTTTTTTGGTGATGTATCAATTTTTGGCTAAGTACCTCGTCATCTTGTCTGCTCCCATGTGGTCGGTGACTCAGAGGCTGAAGTGGAGCTCCCTGGTGGCGAGCTGCCTAGTGGTGAGCTACCTGGTGGCGAACTACCTAGTGCCGAGCTGCCTGGTGGTGAGCTACCTAGTGTCGAGCCGCCTGGTGGTGAGCTACCTTGATGCCAAGCTCCCCGATGGTGAGCTACCTTGATGTCGAGCTCCCTAGTGGTGAGCTACCTTGAAGTTGAGCTCCCTGGTGGTGAGCTTGATGAGCTTTGTTGCTC